AAATGTCGGGTCCAGTACAGTGGAGACCTGAAGTTATGTTCTTTCTACCGCACGGGAAAATATTTATGAGATTGCGATAATCTATAGATACAAAGTTCTTTTAATATGGCGTGCAGAGTATTCCCAATCAACTACTCCATGATAGGAAAGCACAGTATCCCCCCTGCAACTGCAGAGCTTTTTGTGTCAGTCGTCCTCTAGTTTTTCCTCTCTGAGCGTCAACGCTCGAACACGTCCAGTCACGGTAGATTCCCAGGCCCGAGCAATTGCACATAGCAGTAACGAAGACTCCTCCTCAAAAGCAGCCATTCTAGGGACTACTCTTCCCTCTTTACCTCTTTACTTTTCACTTGCACATCCGAGGCTGCTCTGAACCAGCCTGCATTGCTCTCCTCCAAATAGTACTTCCCAATTTTTTCATTACATCCTAAATGTAACGCTCTGCTTTTGTATACAGATTAGTGCTCCATAACTGATCACAGCCTTAGCGAGAGATGCTATCAAGCATTTCTTAGATCACAATTAATCTGTAGAAAACCAGCTGAGGAACGGTAAATAAACCACAAAATTCTGAATAAGAAATAATCGCAGAAACAGAAGAAAAGAAATAAAGCTCTGATAAAATAAACTGATCTCACTACAACCTGCCTTTTCTGTAGCCCACTTACACCAAAAAATGGGACGGCACAGGGTGGAAGGTAAGCATATTTCTTAGGGAAGAACTACTCCCACTTCCTCTAGCAAGTTTCCTTAACATTCCAAAATAACAAACAAACAGGTCGCAGTGCACCTACACGGCAAAGAATGATCAGGAGGGAAAAATCTCATTACTGAGCGTCAATCACATTGCCAACTCCACCATGTGGAATTAGCAGATCACTTCCTAAGCTCTAAGTATCCACCTTCACCGTTAGTAACCCATATTATTTCACACAACACAAGGTTTGCAGATACACGTGAGCAGTTGAACAAAGAGGTGCTGTCACTATGTTACTGCGCTGAGAGGAAAATTTAAAAAAAGCAGATCGCAGAAGCAGACCTTTACAAGTCCTCTACGATTTCATGCAGCAAAGGTTGAACGACAACAACCTCCCAGCTGAGCCGACATCTGTGACAGCTCATGAGGCAGGAAGTGCCGGTTGGCAACGCCTGCTGCCTAAAACGGGGCGGAGTTATTACCCGCGCCTGCGGAAACAGCGACCGGCACTAACTGCATCAGAACAGATACAAACCCCAAGAGCCCACTGCCACATGCATACCCTTAGGAAAACGTCAGAAGGAGGGAGTGAAGGCTCTTACAGACCTGCGGTGCGTCGGGGTCGGCGGGCGGCTCTCCCAGGACGGCGCTGCTGCTCGGGCTCGGCTTCTCGCAGGGCTCCCCGGCCACAAGCTCCTCCGCGGGCACGATGGGCAGCGGCGGC